TCCGCCAGCAGTACCAGCAGATGTAGCGCTCCTCGCCTGCGGAGACACGCGCGCGCCGTCAGCGCCGGGCCCGCTCCGACCCCCCTCTGCCCTCCCCTCGCGCCCCGGAGCCGAGCCGGGCCGGGCCGGGCCCCGGAGGTGGTGGCACTGGGCTGGGGACGGGACAGCAGCTGGGGCCTCGAGTCGGCTGTCGCGGGCCCATCTGTTGGCGCTCGCAGCCCCGGTGGCGTATGTCAGGGAGCCGGCTCGGCCGAACAAAGGCCGGTCTAATGATCATGAGCTCCTCATTACCCGGCCAGACAATCTTCCTATGCGTAGGGGCCATATGCAATGGCTCCTTTTCAAAGGACAATGCCCCGGGTGCCCCCCCTCCCCGGCCCGAAACATTTAGGCTTCCCTGAAGCGGAACAAACCGAAATGGCCCATGTTTGTGTTATGACTTCATGCTCCTTTAAAGTGCGAGGGGTTGGGGAGGAATCCCCTCGTGAGGAATAACTTAAACGTCCCGGCCTGTTTGATCAGCGCTGAAATAGGCTCCCTGCAGGAAACGGGGGTGGGGGGGTCCTAACGGGCTTTTTCTTCATCGCGCAGCTCCACGTGTGCGGCGATTAAAATGCATCGGCTCGGCAAGGCGAGCTGCAGAGCATCGGCCAGCACGAATGCTCGCCTCAATCCGCTAAAACAAAGGTGGATCGGAGGACAGGAGCAAGTGAAATACTTGCAGATAGTTTTGAGGTGGCTAGGATCGTATTAAAGCGCTGGGCTGGGTCCGAGCAGGCAGTAGCAGGTGTGACGTGGGGGCAAACGCCCCTAGGCTAAATTAGCAAGGGCAAGAGGAGCTGTTTTAGACATAGGGTTCAACCCCCTCCCCGAAGAAATGTAACCTCAAGCCAAAGAGAGAAGAAAGTGTAACAGGGCGGGATAAGTGGCTGGCTTCTCGCTGATTGAGTTAGCCCACTAAACAGGCTTTTAAAATGGCATTTGGTGCAGGAATCAACCGGTGTCCATTCATTCATTCATTCATGCATGCTTTCATTCAGCATCCTTCGGGATAAAATAAAAGTCTCCCCGCGCCAGCCCCACTCCTCCCTGCAACACTCCAGCGCGCAGTGAATAATGTTTAGCATTATGTGGTTTCTGTCATGCAGAACTCGCTCTAGCTCTCCTTGAAGTAGGTGGTCTTTATAGATCCATGCTGGAATTTAAAAGCGGAGGTTGTGTGTGCTTTTTCGCTCTGCTGGTCTGAGCTGAAGAGAGAGAGAGAGGCAGGAGTGTGCCAGCCATGGCCCTAATTGTTCAGCTGCAGCGTGAGACCGAACCATTGCAGTAATCCTATTAGCCTGCATTGAGATACAGGTGAATTAGCTTTAATTACTGACAAGCTCGCAGCTCCATGCTCTACCAACCCTAACAGAAGCCTCTTCCTCGTGGCTCTTTCCACAGAAGCTACGTGCTCTTTTCGGAGTAGCTGAAATACCACCTAAACCTCCTGCCTAATGCAAACACTGCAATCTAAACTGACCATCACTACGGCAAACTCATTATTTCCGACCCTACTCTGTTAAAATGAGCCTTGCTTATAATGTCAAGCCTAGAACTAGATCGTCTGTAATGAAGCAGGCTCTTCAACAAACAGCTAAGGAGAAATGTCTTCCTACGTTGGATGCTAGCCTCAGAACTAGTCACTTAACACATTTTGCTCTATTTCTTCTATTCTGATATTGCACCGATGCCTTTGAAAGTGCAGCTCTGGCGTTGGAGAAATAGCTTGTCTTCTGAAAAAGTTTGCTGCTGATATTCTATAGTCACTTTTGAATAATAATAATAATAATAGTTGTTGCTATTATTATTATTATTATTATAGAACATGCTAAGTGAATGTCTCACAGCGGGTCAGATTCCGCTGTCTTTCTCTTACTGGAGGACTGACCCCTCCCCACAAGTGAAAATGAAGGTGACAGCTAGAGACGTCCCAACATTTCATCCTTTAATGTATTTGGGTACGACAGAGGCTTCTCACCAATATATTATTTTTTGTTACAACTGGTCAAATGCTACTAGCCTCTTCGGGTCAGAAGCCTATTTGGGTCTCAAGAGCTGCGAAAAACAACTGGCCCAGAACCTGTCAATGTACAAGGGAACTTCACTCTCTCTCTTCCTAGGTGTGCGAGTGGCATAAACTTGCGGCGCTCCTCATTACTGTAATGGTTCCTCTTAACTTCGGGGACAGGCCTGATCCTGAATTCCTTTACAAGTGCTCTTTCCCATCTGGGGCTGACTAACTGCCAGGAGCTGCTCAGCACCTGACAGGATGGGGTCCTTATGCCTCAGGACTTCAGTGGGATATATTATGCTGGGTGGTGAGTGAGTGCGGCATCCGGAGGATGGATGTAACCCTGGAGCGCTGCCTTGGAACACGTTTGTTCTGGGATCGGTCGCTTAGCATAAGCTAATCTGCCCGGTATAACCTTTCTGAGCAGCTCTGAGTACAGGCACCAGCAGAGCCACCGAGAAAATCCTGGGCAAAATCGATCTGCAAACCAGCGTCAGTCTGATGCCTGCCATGTCCCCGCAGAGATCGGCGTGACATCCTCGCTACGACCCAGCCCTGGCTTGGATGGCCGTGTGAAGGCAATCCTGAAGCCACGGCCCCCAGACCCGCTAGCTACCAGAGTCTGAGCACACGACAGACACGCAGCGGCATTGTGGCCCTACCTCACATTTGGAAAGATCCCCTGACGTTTAAGTCTCTAGGATATGTCTCGATCGCAAGCCCAGCTTCAAATAAATAGCCACATCAAACGGGCTGTCCAAGGCTGGGCACTCATTTCTAAAGCCACTGTGAATATAACCTCGCTAGGACAGCATTTGGGTCGGTGTACGCTGGCCATTCCCCGTTGCAAACCACTAAAGAGGAGCTGGGCATCGTCCCTAATTTAACACATGGAAATGAAGTCTGAGGCTGTGGCTAGAGTGCTCTGAGGTCGGCGGCTGTGGGTGCAGGTGGAATCGTTGTCTTAAGCCAAGGCCTTTCCAGCTGGGGTATTTTTTTCCCTCCCCTATCGGAATCATAAGATCCTGCTCCGTGAGCCCTACGGGACATAGTCCCACTGACGTTTACACGTGTTCAGAGCCAGCAGAAGCAGCTGGAGGCGGGGTTGGAGCAGGGGTCCCAATCCCCGTGTCCTGGGTGGGGAGGGCTATCTAAAGGGGCTGCCCCCGGCAGGGGCTAGGGTTTCTCATCACTAGGGATCCTGGTTTTCTGTGATAAAAAAAATCCCCAATACTTTTCTATTTAAAAAGTAACACAAAATCCACATTATCTGTATATCTATAGATATAGAAATAGATGTAATCACATTATCTGTGATTAAAAGGAAACATCACTAATATATCTGTAGATATTGATATATAGTATTGTTTCCTTTTAATCATCGGAAAATGTGGATTTGGGGTTCCTTTTCTAATCCAAAATATTGGGGATTTGTTTCTTTTATCAGAGAAAACTAGGATCCCTGCTCATCACACAGACGCTGCTCGTGGTCCATGGGTGGGGGGTAGGAAAGAGCCCCTGGGGTCGGGACAAAGCTCTGCCAGGAAGGGCCCGGGGAGCCTCCCGCCGTAGGCACTGCCCAGGTACCTTTCTCGTCGTGTGTCGGGGTGGCGATGATGGGGATGTCGAACCACTGCGCCAAGGAGTTGGAGTACCAGACGGTCAGCTCCTCCCCCGGCTGCAAGTCTCGCAGCGCCCGGTAGAAGATCTGTGTAAAGAAGAGAAAGCGCCCTGAGCTGGCTGAGCCGGTGCCCGGCCACACCGCTCAGCACCCGCCCGGGACGGAGGGAGATACCTGTCCTCCTGGCAGATCCGCAATAGCTTCCAGTGTCTGCTCTTGGGAGCTCCTGGCAGCCCGGATTAACCCTATCCACTCCAGAGCGGAGCTGCCGGCTTCATCCACTAACTCCCCTCTCACCATCCGCACCTAGAACACAGGGGCAGCCGCGGTCAGTGCCAGCCCGGGCGGCGCAGCCACACAACAGAGAGCCTGGCCCCGCTCCTCGCTGCCCACCCCGGCGCCCTCTGCTCAGCCATGGACATCCAGTGGGGCTGGACGACTGTCTGGCAACAACAGCGACAGCCTGAGCCAGGAGGGAGAGAGGGTGGCAGTTAGGTGGGCAGAACCAGAGTGTGCCCTCCTTCAATAGCGGCCTTAGGAGAGGGCAAACCGGGCGACTGCCCACACTTTAGGGGGGCCCAAAATTTTGCAACAATGGGGGGAAGCTTTTGCAAGGAAGTGGCTCTATTTGCATTTTAACACTCGACTATTTATCCAAGTTCCCCAAAGACTGTTTTTAAAGTTCTGCGATACATAGGTGATCAAAATTAAGCCTCTAAGGGGCCCCAAATGACTCTCTCGCCCAGGGCCCCAACAACCCTAAGGCCGCCACTGTCCTCTTCCTCACCCTGCGGTCTGGATCTTACAGCCAGGCAGAGCCCTTTGCTCCGGGGGTATCTCCCCAGGGCTGTGGAAGGCTGCAGGATCCTCTCCAGGCTCTGCTGACCAAGCAACGCATCCAGGCAGGTTGGGAGTGCGCAGGTGAGAGGGACCGGGCCAAGGCCTCAGCCGGACTCATCGCCCTTTGGTGCCCAGAGCCGCGGAGAGCCGCGAGGAAAGGGGGGAAGGAAGGAGGGGGGGTGGGGAGAGGAGGGAATGTCGGGGGAGGGATCTTTGCTTGGCCCTGAAGCCTCTGTGGTCCCATCCTTCATAATCTGCTCCACCGCACAAAGGGGAAATGAAGTGCCCGCTCGCTCAACGACCGTGCAATAAAAGTCAGGGGAACAAAGCCGTCTGCAGAGAGCAACCAACGGAGCCAGATGAGAGATAAATTTGAGGGGCCTGGCAGAGCGTTTAAAAGCAATTAAAGGGCATTCAAGAGCCGAGCGGGACGCATGAGCCAGCTCCGCACCGGGGGCCTGGCAGAGCGGCCTCCGCCCCGCACCCGCGCAAGGCTCAACACGCGCCCGCCGCCGGCGGCTCCCGCCCCGCCCCCGGGGCACCCCCCC